CCTTCACTCTTCCCGATTCTTCCCACTCCAGGGCCTTTGTGCCGGATGTTCCCTTTGCCAGAAACACCCTTCCCTTCTCTCTTCTGGGTTTTGTGCTGATGTCGCCTCCTCCAGGAAGTCTTCTCTGACTGCCCATATCAAGGCCAGTACCCTCCAGCATACATGATTGTCACTCCCCATCTTTTCCCTTTCAGAGCGTTTATCATAATATTAATAGTAATTAAATAATGAAATGCTGGATTTTGCCATTTAGTGTCTGCCCCTCCCTCAGACACCGGAAGCTCTGTGAGGGCAAGGAATGTATCCATCTGTCCATCTTATTCACTATCACACAGGACTTCCTAGCAGGTGCTCAACAGAGATTTGAGGAATAACGGAATGGGCAGGGGGTTTGCTCCCCCATCAGGGCTGTGGGGCAGGCGGACCACCTCCCAGAGCTGAAGCAGGTGGATCACCTGAGGTCAGGAGTTCGAGACCAGCCTGGCCAACATGGTGAAACCCCGTCTCTACTAAAAATACAAAAATGATCAAGGCATGATAGCATATTTCTATAGTCCCAGTTGCATGGGAGGCTGAGGCAGGAGAATCGCTTGAATCCAGGAGGTGGAGCTTTCAGTGAGCCAAGATCGTGCCGCTGCACTCCAGCCTGGGCGACAGAGTGAGACTCTACCTCAAAAAACAATAATAAAATTATTTTATTATTTTATAATAATGTAATTATTATAGTGAAGCACACCTCAGGGGCTCAGCTGAAAGCAATAGCCATTAGGGCTGGGAGGAGCTGGGGCTCCCTGGCTTATTTCTAGTACCTGGGAGGCCTTCACCTGCCCTGCATCCAGGATGGCAGCGTCACGGCACTGCCCAGGCACCCACTGTGTGCCGCCCAGGAGAGCAGGAGATGGGGGAGCGGGGGGTCCCACATGGGTCAGGTGCAGAACCACTCCTCTCTTACAGCCTCTGAGGGTCCCAGGCCGCCCCTGGCACACAGTAGGGCCTCAATTAATGGCTTGATGGAAAGTGCCCTCTGTCCTGAGGGAGGCAGAGAGGGGCCCAGGAAGGTTCTACAAGATTGAACTTAGAGAGAGGAACTCAGGACAGGTGGTGGCTGGGGACAGCTGTGAGAGGATTTAGAAGGGACGGATGAGGGAGTATCGGGGAGTGAGGGACCCCGCTGTCCCTCTGCAGAGCCCAGGGGTCCTCGTCAGCCTGGGATCAGTGCTCTCCAGCCACAGCCAACCCAAGTCATTTTTTTTTTTTTTTTGAGATGGAGTCTCACCCTGTCATCCAGACTGGAGTGCAGTGGTGAAATCTCGGCTCACTGCAACCTCTGCCTCCCGGGTTCAAGCAATTCTCCTGTCTCAGCCTCCTCAGTAGTTGGGATTACCTGTGCATGCCACCAAGCCCGGCTAATTTTTTTATATTTTTAGTAGAGACGGGGATTTCACCATGTTGTTCAGGCTGGTCTCAAACTCCTGACCTCGTGATCCGCCCTCCTCGGCCTCTCAAAGTGCTGGGATTACAGGCGTGAGCCACCATGCCCAGCCAACCCCAGGCTTTAACGGGACCCATGGCCAAGTTCCCACAGGGACTCAAGAGCAAGTGTTGGGGTCAGAGCTCTGGTGCCCGCCCTGCTGTTGTCAGCTCCCCACAAGCCCTCACCCCCTGGATGGGCCTCAGTTTCCCCAACCGTATAACAAGGGCACAGTGCTTTCCAGCTGCCCTGGCCCTCTCCACACACGGCTTACCTCCCTCCTGACCCAAGGGTGTGCTTGCACTGAGGCCTGACAGGAGGAGGAGCTGGGCCTCCCTGGGGCAGGGCTGGCCCGTGGCCATCCGTCCTGGGGTCGGCTCTTGTCCTGGTCTGGCGGGAGCTGCCCTTGCCTCCTCCAGCAGGGGCTGAGAATTTCTGTGCTGACCTCACCATCTGGGCTAGCGGTTCCAGATGTGGGCCGGGAGTGGGGAGGAGGTTCCTGGGAAGGTCCCGGACGCTTCAGAGGGTACTGAGGCTGAGAAGAGGGCCAGCCTAACCTGAGTCTCCCCTTGAGCCAGGACCCCTAGAATCACCCACGGTCAGGCCAGGCTGGTGCTCAGTGCTGGCTGGAATGCGGGACAGGAGAGGAGGAGGGCGGGGGCCGAGGGGAGCACCAGATGGGGAGTCCAGAAGCTGTATTGGCATCTGGGTCTGCTGCCTCCTCACTGCGTGGCCATGGGGTGACCTCTTCTATCCAAACCTCAGTTTTCTCATCACTCAAATGGGCGCATTGACACCTGACTCCAGGAATTCCACGGAAGCTCTGCCAGGCTCCAAGAAAGATGACACCACCCTTGTTAAATGGCCCCTGGGAAGCTTGTGCCAGGCAGCTCTGGGGACACTGAGGTGTGTCAGACCTGGTGCCCAGTGTGGCCGGTCCCACCCCCACCCCCAGCACAGCCCTGCCTCCCACTCCTGGACCCTCTATTCCGCTCTTGTTCCTGCTGTTCCTGCTCCCTGGGGCACCCTTCCCCACCACCTTCTAACTCCTACTTATTCTTCAAGACCTATTTCAGGTGACTCTTTCTCCGGGAAGCCAACCCTGATAGCCCCATATCCCAACCTGGAGAGGGTGCTCTGTTTGCAGGGGACAGTCTAGCATGGTGTTTAGGAGCACAAACTCTGGGGCAGACTGCTGGGTTCAAATCCTGTCTTTGTGACTCCCTCGCTGTGTGACCTTGGGCAAGTCTCTTAACATCTCTGTGCTCTCGTAACCCTCTCTCAAGGGGAGTAACAGAACCACCCTTAACACGTGTGAACAACTCAGCCTGGTGCCTGGCACGATGTGAGCTCTCAGTGCACAGTGGTGCTTGTTATGGGATGGGCAGGATTTCTCCCCCACATCCCTGACTGCCAGCTCCATGCTGGGCACCGCCTGGTGACGGAGACTCAGGACTCAGAACTGGCCCCAGAGCCCAGGCCCCTCCTGGTGAAGTTCCACTACCAGCTGAGTGGAGGCGGGAGCCTGTGAAGGTCAACAGCCCTGGGCAAACCCACGTATGCGGGTGGGTGTGTGGGACGGGATGAGGACAGGTCTGTTTGCTCCCGGGCCCCAAACCACATCACCCGGTGGCCGGTGCCCAACCAGCAGCTCAGCACTGGCACTGCCCGCTGTGCCACCCTGACCCCTGAGGCTGGGGCAGCAGGAAGTGGACCGGGGTTGGACCCACACTCCCTGGAGTCAGGGTTGAGGATGGGCTGTGCCCGTGGAGCTCGGGGTCTCTCCCTGTCCCCTGCCCGGCTCTGACTTCTGGGCCCTCGGTTGTCCCGGTTGCTGAGATCTTCAGTGGCTCCTGGCTCTCACCCCAGGAGGGAGAGGCTCCGAAGCCACAGTAAACGGGGTGAGGTCACAAGTCTACACACAGGCCAGGTACATGTGTCTCCATGGGGACGAGGGCCAGCCTGCTTTTCCCCGGGGAGTCGGAGGGACACAACTTTCTGAGAGCTGTGGGGGCCCAGGCAATGGCACCCAGGCGTCCTATCCCGCAAGTCTGGGGTTCAAGTGCCGCCCACAGGGACACTGATGCCTGGGGCTCTAGGCAGCTTCTGAGACCCAGGCCCTCAGCTAGTACCCTTATAGACCCCAAAGTGAGCAGACGATGGCCGGGCTCCTGTGTCTGGGGCTGTGGCTGCCCGGGCCACCCTCCCCTACCAGGACACAGGCATGGACAGCAGACGTCGGCATTGCTGGACTGCTGTACCCAGTGCATGGCTGGAGAGATTGTGGCTCAGAGGCCACGAGCGCCAGGTTGCCAGCTGGTGGGAGGCCTGTTCCAGCCCCCTGACTCCATGCTCTGCACAGCTCTGGCCCTGGGCCCTGTATCCAGAGTCCAGCTCTGTGTCCTCACCCCAAAGCTGAAACCAGGGCTGCCCCTGGGGCGGGGTCAGGACAGGGAGCGGGGAGGCAGCACTGGCTCCCCTTCCTGCTGTGCTGAGGGTTTCCCTCTCTGTGCTTCTCTGGGGGAGGCCGGTAGACGGGACCTGCAGCCTGCTGGGCCCCAGGACGCGGATGTGGCTGGGGCAGGCAGGCAGGCTGGTCCTCCCGCTGCCCAGGGCCGCCCCCTGCAGGGCCGCAGCCAGGCCTGCCATGAGCCAGGGAGGAGAGGCAACTCCACAGCCTCCGGGTTGCACTGTGCTGCACCACCCAGGGGGCCGGCAGACAGCCACAGCCACCTCCCAGCCCCTCCCGGCCTCAGCAGCCCCCTGCTCCTGCCAGGATGTCCAGGCACAGGCCCAGGGGCAGCACCCGTGGAGAGGCCGACAGGACCCAGGTCAGCCCTGCCAGGGCCTGGAGAGAATCGCTGGAGGGGACTCCTGCGGATAAGGGACAGGAGGGCCCACTCGAACACAGGGACCGAGTGGGAGGAGACGTGAGGATGAAGAATCCCGGCAGGAGCAGCCCTGGGGCCAGGCCTCTCCAGACACACAGGCAGGAAAACTGCAACCCTCCCGTCACCCAGAGACACACTCTGGAACTCACACCCCACGCCTCACACACTCATGGGCTCACGCAATCGTGCGACATTCGGCCAGGATACACTCACCCACGAGGTCACTGCACATGCACTGCACACGGCTGCACACACACCCGCTCCAGCAGCCCTGGGGCTCCGTGCCCCGTCCTCCGGATCCACTCCAGGTCCACTCCGGCTCCACTCTGGCTCCACTCCGGGTCCACTCTGGGTCCACTCCGGGCTGACTCCCCTCCTTGGGGGCCCCAAAGCTGACCAACAGCCTGAGCCTCTCTGTCCACCCTCCCCTCCTCCCTGAGGGCCCAGATGGTCCCTCCCATGCTTAGCCTGAGGTGGGGAGGCATCCCGGGTGTGGGAAAAGCCGTCCCCTCGCCTGCCAGAGCCTGGAATGCGCTGACCAGCGCGTCGTAATCCCCACTGTATGCCCCACGGGGTTGCTGAGCCCATGGGGGCGGGCAGCAGGGCTGGGTGTGGGAAGCCAGGGTGGGCTGGGGGACAGGCCCTGCAGCACCAGGCCATCAGATGGGACCCCAGAAGCCAGGGCAGGGGTCAGCAGCCAAGCCTCCCATCCCAAACCTGCCCTTAGCTGATGGGAGGGTTCAAGTCCCTGGAGGGACGCCTGATCAGGGAGGAAGAGCCAGGCAGGGGTCCCTGCCCAGAACGTGTCGTTCCTGTGGAAAAGGAGTAGCTGCTTTCCCTGATCCTGAAGGAGTAAAGTGGGTGAGAGTCCCCAGCAGGAAAGGGCCTGGGGGGCAGTGCCAGGTGGCCCTATCTCTGGTGCCTGCATGGAGAACCAGCTGGAAGGGAGGGGCCCCAGGGGGAGGGAGATACGGGTTGGGAAGGGCACAGAGACCTTGTCAAGCCACCTGGGGGTGGGGCCTCTGTGCTCCCAGCCCCCGCGCCATCTATATCCCGGGACTCCCAGTGCCTTCCCGCAGTGGCTGCGAGCAGATGGCGGTGCAGGTGGGTGAGACCCTGGACTTGGGGAAGGAGAACGGGGCAGGACTGGGGACTCCCTGAGCTACCCATTCTCTCTGCACAGAGCTGGGGGTGCTGGCTCTGGCCTCTCATCAGACCTCAGGGCTGAGAGGGCGTGGGGGTAAATGTCCCCCCAGAGCTGGCCTGCTGGACAGGCATGTCTCTCCCACCCTGTCACAAAGACACCAGAGGAACAGAGTGTTAGTCCGTGCCTGGCACTGGGTTGGGGGCAGGCTGGGTGGGCAGGGACCCTCCTGAACAGGTGGGGTGGAGTGGGAGAGGGGAGGCTGCAGCCCCGTGAGGCTGGCACCCCTGTCTCTTGCACTCAGTTTGAAGCCTTCTGTGCGGGGGGCCTGGCCCCCGGCTGGAGCCTGCTGGTCCAGGGACAGGCTGACTCTGGAGAGGACAGGTCAGCAGCACCGCCCTCCCTTCCCTGGGCCTTGGGCTGGGCGGCTGGCCCAGCTGTTTGCGGCTCTTGACCCGAACAATGTCCGCCCCAGGTTCGAGATTAACTTCTTGTCGGAGACGGGGGACATTGCCTTCCACGTCAAGCCCCGGTTCTCCAGCGCCACCGTGGTGGGCAACGCCTTCCAGGGCGGCCACTGGGGCCCAGAGGAGGTGTCTAACATCTTCCCACTGGCCGTGGGGGAGCCCTTTGAGGTGACAGGGGCCTGGGTGGGGCCTGGGTGGGGCCTGGGCCGGGCAGGGGCCACCGGTGGGGGAACAGGGGCTGGTGGGCAGGGGGTTCACAGTGGATGCTAGCAGGTCAGCAGGCCAGGGCAGGGAGTGGGTGGGCCTCCCTGGCCTCAGCTTCCCCACCTGTGCAGTGGGTGCCCACTAGCTTGGCTACCAGCCACCCATCTTGGGAGAAAGGAGGGAGCTTCGGGCTGGGGGCACTAAGCCAGGGGACCCCCGGGGCCTGCCAGCCTGTGCTTCCTGGAGACGGCCTGCAGGCACATCCCCATTAGAAGCAGGACCAGACCCTGGGCCCTGGGGCCGGCACTGAGGTCACTGGCCCCGGCCTGCCCAGATGGAGGTCAGCTCGGACGCGGAGCACTTCCACGTCTATGCGCAGGAGCACAAGGTACTGCAGTTCCCGCACCGTCAGAGGCCACTGGGCATCATCACCAGGGTGCGGGTGCTGAGTGACCACCACCTGGCCCAGGTGGAGCTGGCCAAGAGGGGCCTGAGCTGGGGGTAAGGTCCCTGACCCCAACCCAGGGGCCCTGCCCATTCCCACCCCACACTGCCCACCCCAGCAGGGACTTTTCTTCTTACCCTGATGTGTGGACCGTCCTCCGCCTGGGGAGGGGGCTGTCTGCCTGGCACCCCACCCTGCTCCTCTCCCTGCCAGCCCTGCACATCAAGCCACGAGAGCAGGGCCACGGGAGCAGGACCATGGTCCACCTCCCGCCCTGGTCTGTGCATGGGCAGGGTGGGAGCTAAGGGGCGTGCCTTGGATGTTTGCAGGGACCGGGGCTATTGAGCGGCACCTGCAGCCCCAGGAGCAAGCCTCGGCTCATCCCATGTCCAGGACAGCTGGAGCCCCACCCTGGGGCAGCTGGGGGAGGAGATTTGTGGTCCTGTGTGCTTTCTGCCCCCCCCACCCCACTCCACTTTCAATAAACTCTGAGCAGGCTGCAGGCACTCGGCTGCTGCGGGGTGGGCGAGGGAGGCTGAGGTGGGGCCGGTGCTATGTAGCTGTGGAAACTGGGGGCTGGGAGACGGTGAGACTGACACTGCAAAGAAGACCCAACCCTCTCACTTTGTCCCCAGGTCGCTGAAGCTCTCGGGGATGGGATGGACCAGGGAGGGGTGTCGGACGGCATCCCATTTGGGGAGGGTGCCTGGCTACAGGCCAGAAGGTCCCATTGGGGCCCAGGGGACAGAAAGGCAGGGGCAGGCATGGCCTGGGCTGGTCCCCACCCAGGGCCGCTGGGCTCAGGCTCTTGCCACAGCTCAGCCCTAGTGGGGAGGGTCAGCCCTGGGGGACTCATGTCCTGCCCGGTCTAAGCCATCTCCTCGGAGGCCCTGAGGCTTCCTTCTCCCCCTACTTCCTTCGGGGCGTTTCCTGTTTCTCCCATCCCACCTGGAGGGAGACATGCACCAGTCTCAGCAGCCTCCTGTGTGTGTGTGGTGAGAGCAAGGCTGGCGTGTGGTGGGGGGAGGAAGCCCCTGGAGGCCTCATACGGGAACAAGGGCACTGTGGGGAGAGTCCCCCAGGCCTGCTCCTCCTGGCTGCGTGACTGTCCACAAATCCCCCCCCACCAGCCTCAGTTTCCACATCTATACAATGGGAGTTGTGGCTCTGCCTCTGGTCTTCGAAGGGCTCAGCCTCCCTATGACAGAGCCCAAGGGCCCCAGGGTGGGAGGGTGACTTCAGGGGCTCACACAATGAGATTTTCTGGGAGTTTTCATAATTGGGTGTTAATTCTACTACAATTACCAACATGGGGTATCTGTTCTATAGGTCAGATCTATTCATCTCTATCTCTACCTATCTATCATCAATATCTATTGTCGATCACATATATATCATCTATATCCATCATCATCATCAATCATCTGTCTATCATCTATCTATTCATCTATCTACCCACCTACCAATCTGTCTATAATTTATCAACATTAAACTGGAGACGTCACAATTTAGATGAAACTTCACAGGTATTTAACCTTAACAAGTCAGTTACTTAAAGGAAAGAGTTAGGCCAGGCACAGTGGCTCATGCCTGTAATCCCAGCACTTTGGAGGCCACAGCCAGAGGATCCCTTGAGACCCCAGGAGTTTGGGACCAGCTTGGGCAACATGTCGAGCCCCCATCTCTACAAAAAAATACAAAAATTAGCCAGATAGGATGGCTCACACCTGTGGTCCTAGTTACTCAGGAGGCAGAGGCAGGAGGACTGCTTGAGCCAAGGAGGTTTGAGCCATGATCACGCCACTGCTCTCCAGCCTGAACAGAGCAAGGCTCCTGTCTCGAATGAATGAATGAATGAATGAATGAATGAATGAATGAATGAACGTATTAGCTCTGCAGTTGCACAGACAGGAGATCAGAGGGGGAGCCGGACTTGAGAATGGCTGCCTTGGTTACAGCCTCAGCTTTACCACTCTCTGTGAGTGACTCTGGGCAAGGCCCTGAGCTCTGGGGACTTCTGTGATCTGGGACAATAAGTGCCTTCAGCATAGGATGTCTTTCTGCCTCAGTGAGTTAATTCAGATGACACCGTGCCTAGACAATGGCTAGCACTTGTTTTTTTGAGACGAATTCTCAATCTGTCACTCAGACTGGAGTGCAGTGGTGCAATCTCAGCTCACTGCAGCCTTCGCCTCCCAGGTTCAAGCGATTCTCCTGCCTCAGCTTCCCAAGTAGCTGGGATGATAGGCGAGACCCACCACGCTCAGCTAATTTTGTATTTTTAGTAGATGTGGGGTTTTGCCATGTTGGCCAGGCTGGTCTTGAACTCCTGACCTCAGGTGATCCACCCGCCTCAGCCTCCCAAAGTGCTGGGATTCCAGGCATGAGCCACCATCCCTCGCTAATTTATTTATTTTTTCAGATAGAGTCTTGCTCTGTTACCCAGGCTGGAATGTAGTGGCACAATCTTGACTCACTGCAACCACCACCTCCCAGGTTCAAGCAATTCTCATGCCTCAGCCACCTGAGTAGCTGGGATTATAGGTGTGCGCCACCACACCCGGCTAATTTTTAAGTTTGTTATGGAGACGGTTTCACCATGTTGGCCAGGCTGGTCTCAAACTCCTGACTTCAGGTGATCCGCCCGCCTCAGTCTCCCAAAGTGCTGGGATCACAGGCGTGAGCTACTTGCTTCTGGCCTGGCACTTGCTTTAATGCTACTGTATAATTCCCAAAGATCTTGACTGCGAAGGTTTTATAAATGGGGAAACTGAGGCTGAGGTGGAGATAGGAAGTCAGCAGGAGGCTGGGACCCAGAGAGGAGGGTCCAGTGACCCACACTGCCCTCCAGCACTGGGGAGGCATCTAAGGGCGGACCACGTCGCCCCCACCCCCAGGTGACACAATGGCGGCCCAGTCTCCTGCTGTGCGGCTTCCTTCCTGTCTCCGCTTACTTCCCCGCCTGCATCCACGGCCCAGCTGGCAGGAGCCCCTTCCTGCCGCCTCTTCGCCTCTTCAGGAGGCCTGGCCTTTGTGTCCACCGGGAGGGGCTAGGGGCAGCGGTCAGACAAGCCCTAGACATGGGCGGGACTGGGGCGTGGGGAAGTGGGGACCTACACAGCAGGGCCTGGGTCTGTCGTCAGGCCTGGCTACTCCTGCTCCTGGGGGCTATGGGCCCGGCAGGGAAGGTGTCTGGCTTGGCCTGCTAGGCCCTGGCCTTGAGACCTGAGCTGCCCACTCACCCTCTCTGGGCCTCAGTTTCCCTGCAGGTAAAAGGCTCCCTCCCTGCAAGCTCTGCCTCCCCAATAGCCATGCAAGGTGAGAGTGTGAAAACGTGAGATGGCAGGCCCTTTGCTTATTGTGGGGTGGCTGAGGCTGGGGATGACGTGGGCCAGGCCTGCCCCTTCTCCCCCAAACTCGGCAAGGTGTGGAGTGCAAGGTTCATTTTACAGATGCACAAACAGGCTTGGGGAGGTGGTGACTCACTCTGGGTTGCTCAGCAAGTGTAAGCTGGAGCTGGCCCTTCTCTTCACTCCTGTATGCAAACCAGACCACAGGGGCTCCAGACCCTGAAGCAATGTTGATATTCAGTCTCCCCATCCATAAAATGGGGTGCAAGGAACTATGGTCTCCAGGCGTCCTGCTGCAGGAGCTGTCTGCCCTTCCTATCACACCTTCCATGGCTCCCACTGCCCTCAGCACAAAGCATAGTTTCCAGTCTGATCTGGCCTCAGCCCAGTGCTGCAGCCCCAATGGCCCACTCATTCCCTGACCTGCCACTTCAGCTCAGAAGACACCTCCTCTGGGAAGCCTTCCTGGCCTCCTCCTGGGCTCTTGCAGCCCTGGCTTTCATTGAGGCCCTGCCTTCCCATCACACGAGATGCTCATCACCCTGCTGACCAGAAGCAAATTTCAGAGTTGACTTAAATCTGCTCCTCCCCTGTGTCATGGCAGAGGCCCCTTAGAAGGCGCCCACACACTCCTTGATGCCTCCAGAGAGCCAAAGTCATCAGCAGGGTGTTATCTCCAGCTAAAGCGGCTGCCGGAGGTCAAGTGGGGCAGCCGGCCCCCAGCATGCTGAGCTGCATCTCTGGGAGAACTTGTCTCCCCCTCAGTTCTATCTCTGGAGTTGAGGTGGGGTTCAGGCAGATGCCCTGAGCTGGGCCTGTCTGGGGAAACAGCTGCTGGGGAAGGAGGCTGCAGGCCTTGGCAGTTCACATCCACAGGCCTCCCAACACCACCTGCTGGCTAAAGGCTCCAGGCTCTCTGGGGGGTCAGGGAGCGGCTCAAATGCCCACAGGGTCAGGAGGGTAAATATGCCTAAGTGAGGCAGGAGGGCACAGGGCAATAGGGGTTGGTGGGGTCTGTGGCTAACAGGAACACACGCCCCCACCCCATTCTGCCCATCTCCTTCCAACCATGCACAGAGACATGTGGACTCAGAGTGGGCAGATCTTGGAATTTAAAACACCTGAGGTTCAAGTGCTGTCTACTAGCTCTGTTTTAAAACACCGGCCACTATGGTAAGACTTACAGAAGGTATCAGCTGCAGGCAAAGCTGCCCCCAGGTGCATCAGGCCTGAAACCTCTGCTTGCTTGCTTTCCCCTTCCCTCCCCTCCCCTCCCTTCCGTTTTTGCCTTCCTTCTTTCTCTCTCTCTTTTCTCTTTCTTTTCTTCCTTCTTTCTTTCTCTCTCTTTTCTTTTTTCTTTCTTTATTTTTGAGACAGAGTCTCGCTCTGTTGCCTAGGCTGGAGTGCAGTGGGTGCAATCTCAGCTCACTGCAACTTCCACCTTCCGAGTTCAAGTGATTCTCCTGCCTCAGCCTCCCAAGTAGCCAGGATTACAGGCTCACACCACCATGCCCGGCTAATTTTTGTATTTTTATTAGAGATGGGGTTTCACTGTGTTGAGCAGGCTACTGTCAAATTCCTGACCTCAGGTGATCCACCCCCCTCAGCCTCCCAAAGTGCTGGGATTACAGGCGCCCACCACCACCACGCCCAGCTAATTTTTGTTTTTAGTAGAGACGGGATTTCAGCATGTTGCCCAGGCTGGTCTCAAGCTCCTGGGCTCAAGCATCTACCTTCCTCGACCTCCCAAAGTGCTGGGATTACAGGCGCCCACCACCACCACGCCCAGCTAATTTTTGTTTTTAGTAGAGACGGGATTTCAGCATGTTGCCCAGGCTGGTCTCAAGCTCCTGGGCTCAAGCATCTACCTTCCTCGACCTCCCAAAGTGCTGGGATTACAGGCGTGAGCCGCCGCACCCGGCCAAAACCTCTGCCTTAAAACCAACTTCTCCCCTATTCTGGCCTCTGCTCTGTTCCTCCCTTTCCACCAGGACAGAGGTTAGTGGTCGCCCCAGGGTGGGGGGATGCCCTCCTGACCCCTCCCCACGCGCCAGCCCCTTTCTGAGCCTTCTCAGGGCCCCATGAGGAACAGACCGGCCAGCAGAGGGCGCTCCCGACGTGGCCTCAACCCAACACCAGGCTGCAAAGCCCCATTCC